GTAGTTTAGATGTACCCTAAGGCTGTGGTGTCCAGCCAGTTCTGAAGCAGACTGCTATAGCGAACTAGCTACACTAAACTGGTCAAATAGCCACATGTGGCTAGTGGCTTGTGTGTTGATCACCACGGAACTAAGATGATCCAGACTGATTTTACCTAATGTAGCCACAATGTAAACACCCCGGTGATTAACCCAGTATAGCTACAGCAGAAATATCTAAAGAATTGGGTTCCACAGACACATTCATTATAGCAGGTCAGCTCCATGTCTGTCGCAGGGCTGTTCCCAGGTGATATGTATGTTATGAAAACAGGACAGAGACATTCAGAGAAAGAGAGAGAGAAAGAGAGAGAGAGCATTAAACTAATTTCATGTTCCATTTCCATTTGGCGTTGAAATTCGCTTCCTGCAAACCCTCCTCTTTCCTGAAAAACAGGTGCTGGGGTCTTTGTACTAGAGAATGAGAGCTCAGTGAATTAATATTTTATCTATTGATGCTATTGCTTGTTACTCTTCTGGATACAGGCGATAGGCTGACAGAACAGAACCTGAGGAGAACTATTAACTCAGGGACAGAGGAGCTACCAGACTTGTTTGCCAACAAGCGACTGAATGTGGTGTGAGACAGTGCCATCTTTTCAAATTGTGTAGCAATCTGCATGAGAGATCCTACATTTAAAATTGTACTTTAACCTAATTCATCTCTGAAATATGATTCCAGAGAAAGAATAGGCTGGCATGTGTGTATGCGAGTACAGCTGTGTAAATGTCATGTCAACAATTTTCATTGTACAGTGTATTGCAAGTACTACAGACCAAAATTTCATGACATGCCTGTATATCAAAAGCCAGCAGCAGATTGGTTAGCATCTCTACCGGAAGCAGCATTTGTAACTTTGCTGCTTAGTAGTTTTTTCTTTAGAAAGTACATAGGAATGGTCAAACTGGCTCAGACCAAAAGTCCATCTAGTCCAATATCCTGTCTGCCGACAGTGGCCAATGCCAGATGCCCTGGGGGAATGAACAGAACAGGGAATCATCAAGTAATCCGTCCCCTGTCACCCATTTCCAGCCCCTGACAAACAGAGGCTAGGGACACCATTCCTACCCATCCTGGCTCACAAGTATTGATGGATCTAACCTAAAGTATTTCAAAAGTACTCCAGATTCTTCAAATTCTGCTTACAATGGATTTGTTCTATTAACTCGTTGTGGTGTGAACAGTTATATAATACTGGCTCTTGGTAACTGACCAGAAACTGTTCCTAACACTTACATAGAGGGTGACAAACAGTCCCTCTGTAATACCTATGTAAGACTTCCCCAAAATCATGAGAGAACAGAACTGCTGGTCTGTGTTTCAGCAAAGCGTAGAGATGAGTTGCAGGAAAGGGGAGTGTGACACTGGTAACATGCACACTCTGTGGCTTATTTGTGTATCTCTAGCATTTGTTCAACCATTTGTGATGCCATCCCCTCCCCTGCCTACCTGAAGTTACTTTGTTAGCATGTAACTTGCCAGATATCTACTGACTTTTGTGTAGAGAAAGGATGCAGGTTTTGTGAAAGTGAACAGAAACCTGTAGGATGGTCGAACTGCCTGGGTTCAGTCACAGCTGGCCCGGCACAGCACTTCAGTTTCTCTTAGGTCGACGGGTATCACCAGGAGCATTTGGGAAGGGAAAAACAACAGAACCTGGTTCTAACTGAATTTGCACATGTTAAACTGGGGAAGTCTCTGTATTTGAATTCAGAACCTAGCCCTGAGAATGTATCCCGTGAATGCCAAGAGACAGTGGCATAATTTGAATTGGCAAGTGTGGAGAAAATAAGAAAGGGGTATATAACAAGGCAAGGAATCATGTTTATAAATAGCTTCCATTCAGGAGAGATAAATACAATGACCCTTTGCCCCATGCACTTGCCATGTTACAATGGAGGGTCAGATCGGATGTTTGTAGGGAGGTCATGAATGTAAAATCACACCATGCTGCAGAATTCCAAGTTGCAAGATATCCATGGGGCCAAGAGCTTAGCACAGTGGTCCCCAACCTTTAGAGGCTCCCGGGCACCCGGGAGGTGGGGCCACTCACGCGCCAGGCGCCTGGGAGGTGGGGCCACGTGTCCCGGGGCACGCCAAGGGACTGGAATGCCCTTGCACCCGGTGCCGGCATGTGCCCTAGGGCCGGGGGCTGGGG